CACACACACACACACACACACATCAACTTCCACATCCTCTCAGTTCATGTCCCATATGCAACTTTGCCATCCTATGGCTGCACCCGTAATTTGGATCTATCCTTGACAGATGAGCAACAGATGGCGCAGGCTGAAGTGGAAAATAGACTCTAGCATGAACCACATTTAGTGCGCTGTACTGAAAGGTTATCCACCAGGGCGAGCTGTTGCAGAACGAATCCTTCAACAGCTAAACACCCTTGCTTTGGATCAGGCCCAGTCATCGCCTGCCCATAGAGAGGGAATATTCGTTGTGGAAACCCAAGAAACCTACTCAATGCCGCATTGTCATGGCCCACCTGAGATTTGGCTAGCATGTGAAGGTATACCCCGTGCAAGTCTTTGCTTTCATACGTTTTATGGCAGCCAACATTGCACTCATGTACTACAACACTATGACATGGCATGTCCTGTTTGTAGACGGGCTGGAATGACAATCCCTATACAATTGCGGTCAGTGCGCCTCTGTGTTCCTGGCATGTGGGAGCCATGTAGCCTGTGACAACTGTCTACACGGTGCCATTTGATGCAGCAACTGCAACTGTGAGAATCGGATGTGGTGCTTCCACATTCCATGCTCGAACCGGTCCTTTCCGGTCTGTAGGGGTGGCCAATAACCATATTATAGGCAATGTCTGCTCCTCAACTCAAAGTTCCCCTGCAACCCAAACACTAACTGGCCTCCTGTGGCATTCTATAGTACTTTGCTCAAGCGGTGAGTACTGAGAATCCTGTGAAGTTTGCCCTTCCTCTATTCTACCTCTTGACCTCCAGTTCCCTCCTCTTCCCGTTCTCCATCCCCCCTCCTTCACTTGCCGTAGAACTTCTCCCCGTACCCCTTTCCTCTCTCCCCTTGTGTACTGCTACTAAGGCATACGAATGAGCATCCTTAAACCACCAGTACGTTTCCCAGCTATTTTTTCAAGTTGCGGCTTGCGCGCTGCCGCAACTTTCAGGGCTTGGCCGCCAGAGAGGCCCATGCCAGTTTTTTTTTTTTTTTGGCCACGCAACACGTTTCCAGCCCTGGAGAAAAGTGCCTCGGAAGTACTGGTGGTTTAAGAGCACAGACAACGAAGTATGAGCTGAAAAATGAACAGGAGACTCAGGAGTATGTATACCTCCTCATTTACTCTGCCTCCTTTCATAGCGTGCAAGTGGGCCGTTACGACACACGGGGATGTGGGCAGCTTCTGCTTAACCACAATCAACATTGCAAGCCTTGTATGTTAGAGGCATGGTAAATGGGGGGGCTGCAAAAATAAATAAAAGGGGTACCCCAAAGGAAAGCCAAGTAAAGGTAATGACAGAAGGAGTATATCATTGTACCAATGGGTCTAACTCAGTTGGTACACCCTTGAAGTGTTCAAATACAGACCCAATTTTAATTATTAGAAAAAAAATGAAGAATATTCAGTCAGTTTCAAGGTCTCTTCAATATTTAGTAAATTTCTGGGATGAACAGCAATTTACTCCTGGTTTGCCTATTATTCGAGTAGGAGATATTTTAAAAGTCAATCTTATAGTTCAGTTCGAATCCAGATGTAATCAGATGAACAGAACAAAATAATTATGAATTACCTGGGCCCGGTCATCACCGCCTACGTGCCCTTTACGCCTAGTCATTCCGAATAACACTTGCCCCCCCCGTCTTACCGCGGCTGCTGGCACGGAGTTAGCCGGGGCTTCTTCTTCGGTTTTTGTCATAATCTCACTACCGATGAAAGAGCTTTACAAGATAAATCCCCTTCTTCACTCGCGCGATATTGCTGGATCAGGCTTTCTCCCATTGTCCAAGATTCCCCACAAAAAGCAGCACACAAGATACAAAGGGGTTTCAACCTCCCGATGAGTCAGTGAAGGTCTGAGGAAACAGCCTGGCATGGTCATGCCTTTTTTTTTTCTTTTTTTCTTTTTCTGGAGGTATGTATAGCTAACATAACAACACACATCACAGAAAGCAAAAGGGAAAAAAGGAATGAGAAAAAAACAAAAAAAAACAAAAAAAAAACAAAAAAAAAAAAGAGGAAAGAGAGAGACTTTAGACAGGGCTGCTAAGGTTTGCACAAAATCTTCTTTTTTCCATCTGATGGGGTAGAACTTGTGTATTGTCACTTTTTCTTTTTCTTTTCCTTCTTCTTCTTCTTCTTCTTCTTCTTCTTCTTCTTCTTCTTGTGGTGGGCTGAATTTCTGTATTGTCTTTCAGATGGGAATGGGACGCAATGTTCGTTATGATGCGGGAGACTACCAGGCTTGGTCTTTCTGGGAAAACCAGGACGAGTGCCACAGGAGAACCTGACGGCAGAGAGTTCATCTGGTAATGGCCCTATTGATGATCAGCACTTCGTTTTGCCTGTCCTATTTCTTCTACCATCCGTGCTGTGATGCAGAGCTTTTCTAGAAGAAGGCTAGCCCCTGATGTTATTGTTGTGACAGGATTTGAACTCTTGACCTGTTCATCAGCAGGCTTAGGTGTGTAGTAATGGGTGGCACACGATGCTTCTGCAGTACACACACCACCTCTACTGAGGAAGAATCTTGCTCCCTTTTTTTCCTTTCTTTGGGCCTCGCTGCTCTACTCTCGACATGCACAAAAGACAAAAATATTGGGGGTGTATCTTTCCATATTCTAGCAGAAGATTCACTCTCGTTTTGCACATTTCGAGAGTAGTGCAGCGAGGCCCTTTCCCAAACCCCACACTGAGAGAGAATAGTGCGTGTTTTTTTTTGTTTTTTTTGTTTCCAAAGGTTTGCTTTTTTTGTGCTTCTACGGTCGGATGACTCGCCCTGACACACCAGAGTTTGTTTTTTAATAATTTACTAAATTTAGATCATTGCTCGATTTATGCATGTCATCCTTGCGCAGGGGCCATGCTGATCTTCTCTGTATCTTTCCAACTTTAACGGATGTCCCAAAGCACGACAGTCATGACACTAGATAAATTTTATTTCGTTAAATTCGTTCTCTTTTTTTTTTCTTTTTTCTTTTTTCTTTTTGTTCTCGACTACTGTTTTTCCTGTTTTTCTTACGTCTCGTAAGTCAAAATGTGATAATTGCAGATGCTGTCAGCAAGGGTTTTTATTAACTTTTTAAATTTTAACTTTTGAATTGGGGTTGAGCCAGTTCTATTTTTTTTTTGTCCGTTCCTTATCAGAATGAGAGAGAATGAGAGAGAATGAGAGAGAATGAGAGAGAGAGATGTGTCAGTTTGAACAAGAAATCGAATGCACAGAAGGACCAAGGATCTAGTCTGAGGGCATACTCACACTACAACCTTTTTTAGCAAATCCGCGAATTTTGTGACGCGTTTACAGTCCACACCGTGCCCCCTCAACCACCAAAATTGTATTCCGCGTTGCGAGCAGCCTGCCGAGCCGCAGGTGTTGGGAATTTGCTCTCACCTGCAGAGAGGTGACCACAATTGCCTTTCTTTTTCCGAGTTTTCAAAGGAAAAAAAAAAACAAAAAAAGAGAGAAATTTATTTTATAATTTTTATTTTATTTTTTGAAAACAGCACTGCGGTAACAAGCAACGCACAGAAAAAAAAAGAAAAGGAAAGAAAAAAGGAGGGTTGGCACACAGATGCCAGGAAATCCCAAAAAGAAAAGAAAAGAAAAGAAGAGTGCCAGTTGTGGTGTGACTACAGGGCGACCAAAGTGCATCATTTGGAAGTGGGGACAAACAAAACGGGTGCTCCAAAAGGAGACGAACTGGGCCTGATCCAACCTTTCTCAAGGAGCTCGTCTAACTGTTTGCGAAGCTCCTCTAACTCTCTAGGGGACATCCTGTAGACTGCACCCTTAGGAGTTCTACTGCCAGGTTCTATCTCTATCCTGTGCTGGATGGGTCGCGACACTACTCCTCTCGGCGACTCAGTCAAGTCTTTGAATTCTTCCAGCAGCTTGGCAATTGTTGGATCTGTGGAACTATCCTTTTCCTGGGCCTCAGTGACAGGTCTAAGATAAACTACAAAGACCTGTTCCTCTAACTGCTCCTTTTTGACTAATCGCGCGAACGCGGGAGCACTGAGACAGCAATGTGCCAAGGTATTGTCTACACCAGACACAT